AATTTTATAATATTTTGGTTAAGGGTCGTTCGCAAGACCTATAACAAAAGATCGGAGAGCGAACTTTTAATAAATAAACAATTTTCTTCTTTTTCTTAAAATTTGAATAACTTTATTTCATTTTTATTAAATTATTATCCATCACAAAACTTTTTTTATAATCAATTATCATTAATTTAAATTATAATTAAATCCACTTAAAATTGTTCTTAAAGTAAAATACTTTATCTTTCTCATAAAAGTATTTTATTTCTTATTCTTGTAAAAAGTGTTTTATTTATAATATTATTTGTGTCAAAATAATTATATACTTATAATACTAATACAACCTAATTAGTTATATTTTATCATTATATTCTTATTTATTAATTTGCACATTTACTCTAATAATTATAAGTAGAATAAATAATAAAAAAATAATTGTTAATTCTTTATGTTTGAAATTAAATAATTATAATAAATAATATTTTATTACTTCATTGTAAGACTTAGTGGGATATAATATAAACAAATAGATAGTAATAAATATACAATATAATTAATTGATAAAAAAGTGATTTATACATAATATAAATAAATTTATTACCTAAATTAGCTAAAAAATTGTGAATGCAAAAAAAAAATTGAGAGTGAAAAGAACCACTATAAACACTAAAACAATCTAGTCTTGAAAATAATTAAGAAAAAAAACTTAAAAAGATATTTGAGAAGTTTATTTCAATGACTTGTGTAACTTTGTCTACCGTCGAGAGTTTGTGTTTGGAAGAGATGTTTACTTTTGAAAAGATTCAAGGAGTTATTTTTTATTGTGATGATAATAAAAGTCTTGGGGTGGACGGTTTTAACTTGGGTTTTTTAAAGAAGTTTTGGGATGTGGTGGGCAGTGACGTGGTTAATTGTATTAAGGAGTTTCATGTTACTACATCGTTACCTAAGGCAATGGTTTCCTCTTTCTTAGCTTTGATATCTATAACATCAAACCATTAATGCTTTGACGAGTATAGGTTGATTTGCTTAATTGGGTGTGTTTATAAATTAATTTCAAAAGTTCTAGTAGCTAGGTTGAGAAGGTATATTGGGAAATTGATTTCCGCTAACCAGACGAAATTTATCCTGGGTAGGCAGCTTCTTGATGGTGTTTTGGTGTTAAATGAACTTGTAGATTTTACAAAAAGACGCAAGAAAAGTTGTCTCATATACAAGGTTGATTTTGCAAAAGCGTACAATTGCGTTGATTGGAATTTTCTTAAGGATACAATGCGTAACATGGGCTCTGGGAAGGCATGGATGCGTTGGATGGATGGAGAGGTTTTTTCAAGTCACATGTCGGTAGTTGTGAACGGGAGCCCGACTGAAGATTTCCAAGCAAAGAGGGGTTTGCAACAACGTGATCCTTTGTCACCTTTTTTATTTGCAATTGCAGCAGAAGGATTATCAGTGATGATTCAAAGGGCGGTGAGTATTGGAATTTTGAAGTATTTCAAATTTAGTGAAGATGTGAATTGCAACTTGATCTAGTTCGTTGATGATACAATGTTAGTATGTGATGGTTCATGGTCCAATTTATGGGCCATCAAAGCTATTCTAAAAGGGTTCAAGCTATTATCGGGTTTGCAAGTTAATTCTTGAAAGAGTTGTCTATTTGGTGTAGGTGTGGAGGACTATTTATTAAGAGCAGCTACATATTTTTTAGAAAGAAGATTGGATGGTATACCATTTAAATTTCTAGGATTGATTGTCGGTGGAAACCACAGAAGTAAAGCATTTTGGAAGTCGATGGGCTCGTGTTTCAAATCTAAGTTGTCAATTTGGAGGGGCCGTTTGCTATTAATTGGGAAGAGGATTACTTTGTTTAATTTCGTCCTCATTAATATGCTTATCCACCACTTATCCTTCTTTAAAGCGCATGTTATCGTTATTCAAGAATTGGTTACTATTCAACATCATTTTTTATGGGGTGGTGAGATGGATAACCGTTGTTTGGCTTGGGTGGATTGGCACAACGTTCGCAAGACGAAGAAGAATGAGGGTTGGGCAATTGTTCTTGTTGTCAAGTATGGCAAGGTCATTCATAGAATTTTGTCTAAGTTTGCTATGGGAATAAGGAATTTTGAATCTTTGTGGTGACGAGATTTAATGGATATAGGGAATTTATTGGATGAAGGTTGTTTTGGAAACATTATCAAATGTAATTTATGAGATGGAGGAAGTATTCCATTTTGGTCTAACCTATTTGTTGTCATGGATTCCACATTTTTTGTCATCAACAAAATGGGAGCAACTTTGCGTTAGAAAAGGCAGCATCATGTCCATTGAAGCTCGTGAATTGTTGGAAATTTTACATGATGTTCGACCTACGGAGGACACTGCAGATAGTTTCATATGGCCCGCTGGTGAATTTAACATTTTCTTGGTAAAGCCTTGCTATGTTGGCTTGTCAAACATTGCAGGTGAGTCCACATTAGAATCTGAAATAAAGGATGCAATTGTGGTACTTTGGCAGACAAGGATCTCGCTAAAGGTTAAGATTTTTGGATGGCGGTTATTTCTTAATAGATTACCAATGCATGAAATCTCATAAGGAGAGGGATTGTAACTAATCCTCATGAGAAGGTATGTATATTATGTTTTAATACAGACAAAGACGTACACCATGTATTCTTTTGCTATCCGAGAATTAAGGTAGTGTGGGAGCACATCTTTTCTTGGGTTGGAATCACTTGGGTTGATGAGGATATGACTTGTAATCATTTTTTGAATTGGTTTTTAAAGTTGACCAACATTTGTCGCAAAAAAAAAAGATGCGGGCTTGATTTGGTTTGTAGTGCGTTGGTGCATATGGTGGTCTAGGAACCATATTTTGTTTAATAATGTGATCGGAGATCCTAAGGTAATTGTCAATAGGATCATCGTATTTTCATGGTGATGATTGTTCTTTAGGAGGGGGGGGGGGGGGGGGGACTAAACCTTCTTGTAATTACTATGAATAGTTTAAAAATCCGACTGATTTTTTGTAGGCGATAGATTCAGTCAGAATTATCCTCTTGTAAATGGGTTTGAGTATCTCTAATACTCCATCTTAATTATATTTGCTTGTCAAAAAATAAATAAAAATGACTTGTGTATTTTTAACTCATGTTAACTTTTAGTTATAATTCTTTTATCAAAATTAAAAGAGGTTAAAAAAGATGCACTGACTGTGTAAAAAAGTTTCACACTGTCGTCCAATAATAGTAGCATATCGTTTTGTCATATAATATAAATTTTTAAAAAATTACAGTATGATTTGGCGGGAATCATGGTCGTGATTAGTTGATAATGTAAAAAAATTTTACAGTGTCAATGCATCATCCATTTTTTAAAATTAAAATACAAAAATAAAAATATGTTCGTGCTCTCTCATGTATGTCTAAATTGTTCCTTAAGCTGTGTTTTTTCTTTTTATATGTTGGTTTAAATGAGAAAGTAAAGTCAGTATTTTTTGTTTTTAACAAACTTATTTGTCATTGTAATTAGTTAAACTTAAGACAACTAAATCAATTATGAAATATCTTAAATTTGTACATATAATTATAATATAATGATTATAATATAAGCTATTGAAATTAATTTTTAATCTAATAATGATTTAGAAGATAAATTTACATCCAAGTTTTTTTAGGCTTAATTCAATTGAATTCACTTAGAAAAAAATTTGTCCATGTAGTGTTTCTTAGACATATAATAAATTTAAAGTAAATTTATCTCTTCTATTTTACGAATACAGGTTTTTATTTAAAGTAGTAGAAAGTATAAATTAACTTATTACAAGATGCAATTATCAAACACTAATAGGAGTGAAGTAATATTTAATTGTAAAGATGAAATTAGAGTTTGAAAATATAATTATAACATATGTTGATGACATGTTATTCAATATTTTTAATTAATTTTTTAAATTATAATTATTAACTATATATTTTACAAAAATGTGTATGATTATCCAGTGCATCTCACACGAAAATATGTATAATTATTTTAATAATTATAATTAATAAAGTTATTGTTGTAAATAATATTAACGATGGTGAGGTATGTGTGGTGATGATATTTACAATGTTGTTACCAATTGGATTGAGAGAGGTTTCTTCCTATCTACATTTAATGACACAAATATTTTTTTTATAGCGAAGTGTGAGAACCCGATCTATGAAGGATTTGTGCCCTATTTTGTTGTGTAACGTGTATAAAATGGTTTCAAAGTTATTGGAAAACAAGATGAAAGGTTGTTTATCCAAATGTGTGTAAGAGGAACAATCAGAATTTGTGGAAGGAAGGTTGATTCTTGATAACACTTTGATAGTCATTGAGATTATTCATGCTCTTAAGCAAAAGATAATAGGTAATAAAGGAGAATTGATGCTCAAGATTAATATTAGTAAAGCTTATAATCGAGTGGATTAGAGCTTTTTGAAGGGGTGTTAGGTCGGATGGATCCATTAGGTGATGATGTGTGTAACTTCGGTGTATTATTCAATTTTGGTTAATTCTGATCGAGTTAGACCAATTCATCCAATAAGGGATTTGAGACAAGGAGACCCGCTTTTGCCATATCTTTTTATCCTTATAGCATAAGGGTTTTCGTCGCGCATTAGTAAAGCATTAGCCAGAGGAGGCACCAATGGCATTTTGACGATCATTTTCTTTTTTGCAGGGCTAATCTATCTAAGGCAAGGCATCTCATGGAAATTTTTTAAGCGTGTGCAAAAGCGTCAGATCAAGAAATTAACTTGACCAAGTCTGAGGTGTTTTTCTAGGCGAAACATCAGTAGACCAACTCAAGAAGATCTCTCTCATCTGATGGAAGTTCGATATGTACTAGGTATGAGAACTTATTTGGGCTTGCCTTCAATGGTTGAAAGAAGAAGAAAAAAGAGACCTTTGCATTCATTAAGGACCGTATTTGAAAGAGAATTAACTCTTGAAGAGGTCGTCCTTTGTTCAAGGAAGGGAAATATGTTATGATCAAATCAATTATGCGCGATATTTTCTCTTATGTGATGAGTATCTTCATCTTACCTGATTCCATAATGAAGGATATTGAGAAAATGTTGAATTCATTCTGGTGGGGAGTAGGCAATAATAATAAGGGTATTAGATGGCTGGCGTGGGATAAATTTACTTGTCCTAAGAATGAAGGAAGTGTGAGCTTTCGTGATTTTAAGTCATTTAATATGGCAATGTTGGCGAAGCAAGGGTGGCATATTATAATGCAACCAGATACTTTGGTAGCTAGAGTTTTCAAAGTTAAGTATTTCCCTCGTTCGTCATTGTTTGAATATAGTCTTGGAAATAATCCTAGCTATGTCTGGAGAATCTTATGGAAAGTGAGAGAGGTTCTTATCCTGGGATGTAAATGGAGGATTAGGGATAAGAGCAAGATTAATGTAATGTTTGACCCATGGTTGAGAATTAAAGGAAAAAGGTAGGTGGGTGCACCACAAGGCCAAGGTGTGTACACTATAAAGGTTGAAAATCTTATGCTTATGAATGGTAAACAATGGAATGTTCAGAATAAAACAATTGTTTACTCATGATATAATTAAGGAAATTGAGAAGGTTCTCCATTAGTGAGGATGGTTTAGTTGGAAAGAGGAACAAACTGGCATCTATATCTTAAAAATAAGGTACACGTTGTAGATGAGCTCTCAAAGTAGTAAAAGAGGGGGAGTGTAAAAGGTGATTGGGGTAGTTTGTGGAGGATAAGAACTCTAACAAAAGCTAAACATTTAATTTCCTGGATATGTTGTAGTTTCCTTCCTACTCAAGGTCGTTTGAGACAACACTATATTTCGTGCCCTACTATATGTCAGTTATGTGAAGGAAATATGGAAGATGAGTGACATGTGTTCTTTGGTTGTGAAACTATTAAAACAAAATTGGTCGATACTATATCCCTTGGGTTTTGATGATAACAAAATATTTAAAGAACAATTGGGTATTCTAACATATGTTCAAGTGTGCAAGATTATAAGACTAAGAAAAAATGAAGAGATGCTTGTGGATTTTGAATATGAAGTTCATACTATGGATCTGAAGATCACTTCTGAAGACTCTGGCTTTAATGAAAGATCGAGACTTTAAAGAAGTCAACATCTAAAGAAAGTTATTCTCTGGTGATCCATACTCTAAAGCTTCAGAAGCTAAGAAACAGACTCTGAAGAGTGAACACCAAAGAAAGTCAACCTCTGAAGGATAATCTCTTCAATCGAGGCAACTCTAACAGACTCAGAGATCTTTTGTTCATGTTAAGACTTAAGTAAAAATCTCTTCATAGTTGCCTGAACTTCAACGGATAGTTCCTCTTGCATAAATGTGCTTTCTTGATGTGTCCAATCAAGTAAAAGCTAATCCAACTTTTTGGTGAAAGTATTGCAACATCTCTTTTCCTTGTCCCTATATAAGGATCATAATGGCCTAAAGAAAAAGACTAATACACTATAATACAAGACTCTAAACCTTGACATTTCAAAGAGAAGTCACTCAGTCAAATAAGCTAGACTTAGAACCTCTTAACACTTTATATACTTTAAAAGTTCTTAAGTCTTAGAGTCTTTCTAAGGTGTATTCTATCTACACCTCTGATTTTATATCAAGTGTAGTTATTACCCAAAATCTCTTAACAATTTGTTATAGAGTCAGAAGTCTTTGCTTGTATGCTTGAGCAAAGAAGTCTCTTAAGGATTTGAGTATTGAAGTATCTTGCTTGTGTGCTTGAGCATAAAAGTATTTTACTTGAGGGTTTGAGCATTAGAAGTCTCTTGCTTGAGTGCTTGAGAAAATAAGTCTCTTACTTAAGGGTTTGAGCATTGAAAGTCTCTTGTTTGGTGCTTGAGCATTTGTAATCTATAACATTGAGTCAGATTATGGGTCAGAATCTGATAAGGACATTCAGAAGAAAACCTCGTAATTCTGAGTTAGACTCTGAACTAAGTGTTCAAAATCTAATTGAGAGGTGTCAAAAGCATAACAAGAAAAATCTTAGAGGATAAAAACCAACATAATTCACCCCTATTGTGTTTTTCTCACCTTAAGTTTACTTCAGAACAAGGTATGTGTTAAACACTTAATAGTGGTGTAGAAAAGACCCTAAGAAAAACACATTTTATAAAATGGTTAATTCTGAAGTATCTCACTCTAATGATGTTATTCATACTCCTTTTGGTGTTGTTAATCATGATTATAGTACATCTGAAAAGAAAAATTATGTTGCTAGATCTCCAACATTCAGTGGTAAATCTACTGAATTTGAATAGTGGAAAAGCAAGATGTACAAACATACCATAGGTCTTGATAATGAGTTGTGGGACATTCTTGAAGATGGCATTGATATTTCTATGAATGGAGTATAAATGGTAGTTGATAGAAAAACTCTCCCACTAGCTCAGAAGAAGACTTACAGAAAACACCACAAAGTGAGAGGTATTCTGGTAGATGCTTTGCCTTACTCTGAGTACATAAAGATCATTGACAAATCTAATGCTAAAACTATTTTTGAATCTTTATATACTACTTATAAAGGAAACCAACAAGTTAAATAAACCAAAGCTAATCTTTTGGTTCAGCAATATGAGCTGTTCAAAATGAAAGATGATGAAAATATTGAAACCATGTTCTCAAGTTTTCAAGTTCTTGTGTCTTGACCTCAAGTCTTAAACAAAATCTATACAACCTCTGATCATTTTAGGAAGATTCTTAAGAGTCTTACTATCAAATACAGACTAAAATTGACAGTTATTCAAGAAGCTAAAGACCTGAACAAAACTAGTCTTGAAAGTTTGATCAGTTATCTCCAAAGCCATGAGTTAGAACTCAATAAAGATGAAGAACCAATCAATAAATCAAAGTCTATGACTTTTAAGCCTATTGGAAAGTATGTTAAATCTTCACAGGCTAGGTGTTGGGAGCATAAAGAAGCCACTCATGTTGAAGCTTCTAAAGAAGATACATATGATGATGAAATGGCTTTCATAATAAAGAGATTTTATTATCTTGCTAGCAAGAACAGAAGGTCCTCTGGTAGAATATCTAGCTTCAGAGGATCAAGCTCTATATCCAATAAAGATGATCATAAAGTATGTTTCAAGTGCCATAAGCCTGATCACTTTATGGCTGACTGTCTAGAGATTGATAAGGACAAATCCAGAAAAGGAAGCTTCCAGAAAAAAAAACTTTAGAAGCAAGTTCAAGAAAAGTCTCATGGTCACATATGATGAATAAGAAGATGAAAAAAATGCAGAAGAAGAAAATCTAGCTTTGGTGGTTCAACATTCTTAGACACAGAATTAGAAGTTGATTCTAACTTAGATTTTAAGGATGAATATGAGGTATTCTCTAAACTCTCTATATCTGATTTAATTACCTTCTATTAAGACCTTATGGGTCAATGTCAGGAGAAATCCAGACATATGAAAATTATTCAAGAGCAATATGGTCTTATGAAATATGAATTAAATTTCTCCAAAATAAGATTGAAAAATTAGAAAGAGATCAGATTGCTTTAATAAAGGATATGTCTAACAAACCCCTTGATGAGTATGAAATGAATGTTCAAGAGTTTTTCATAACTGACTTCAACAAAACCAAACTTATATCCATAATCTATGGTGTAATTAGAATAAAAAGAGAAGGTCTTGGTTACTCTGAAACCTTGAATAAATCAACAGAACCTTCTTCTTCAAGCTCTGCTAAAAAAGGGATGAACTCTCATTTTGTACCTGCTGTTAAAATAAAGGTTTTAAACCAATCAGAACATATAACTGTATAGTCAGAGGTTTTGAAGAAATCAAAACCTGAGACCTCAAAGTCAATAGTTCTTAAGAAATCAGAACCAATGATTCTTAATTCAAAGGTTCTAAGAGAATCAGAAACTTAGACTTCAAAGTCAAAGGTTTTGAAGAAGCTAGAACCTAAGACATCAAGTTACAAGGTTCTGAAAGGTCTAGAACCTAAGGCTAGGATTCACTCAAGAAACAAACTCTTAAATATAAAGTTTTGAATGATCCAAAGTCTTATTACAAAGTTAAGGCTCAAAATAAAAGGAAGCCTATTAAAACTAACCTCAAAGGACCCATAAGATTATGAGTACCAAAAACTGAGATTATCTTTGCTGCAGATATGCTAAAAAGGAAGAACAAAGCAACAATTTTAGTTCCAAGACAATGGTTGCTTACAACATATAACAAAATAAAATCCTATGTTCCAAATCCTAACTTTGAAGGAGGAAAAATATGTGGAATCTGGAAGAAACCAATAGAGAAAGACCACTGGTACTCGGAAGATTAAAGTTGATTGATCTGAAGCCAGTGCTTCAGTTGCTTAACCAATCTCTAAAGCTCATACAGTTGATATGGCCTTTTAAAGGGCTCATAATGGTTATCAAAAGAGCATTGTTGGAACAAAGTAGTTCCTCAAGAACAATTTCAGTAGTAAAAGAAAGCAGATCCGAAGTTGCACAAAGGTATGGCAACTTCGTTGTTTTCACTTAACAATTTCTAAACCTGATATTCCAATATCTGTTTAGAAGTATATCATATATATGAAAGTAGAATTACACTTCACCGTGATAATACTAATTCTATCTGAGTGACAAAGAATCTTATTCTATATCAAAATCAAGCACTTTAAAAACCTTTTAAAATTATGTGCTTGCATCTGAATGGAGAAGTAGAGTTTGATGATTATCAAAAGCTATTGTGATCAGAAGCTCTAGAATAACTTCTGATTAATAGTAGCCTCAAAAGCCTTTAGCCTCTGAAGCTTAGAATAAGACTAATTGTTGCTGATAAATACATAAGTGGGAAACCTTTTCAATTGCCTAAGGCATATGTCCATTTATGTGTCATAAATTTGAAACGTCTTCTGACACGTGGTTTATAACTGTTGGCTAAAAACCTTCATATAATGATGATTTTATTTAAAAAATGTGCATCCCTCCTCATATGTCTTTAAGTTTTGTTTTGATAAAAAAATTGTTTCACTTAAAACACGTTATCAAATTAGACTCACACACTTATCTCTCACTTCCCTCAATTTCGTTCTCAAGCCCTCTCTGAAAAACTACCCATTTTAAAAGAAACCCTTTCTAAAATGGCTTCATCACCTTCTTCTCAACAAGTACCCATGGATGTAGAATATAGCAAAAGTATTCATATCAAACCAAGAACCATGTAGATTAGCATGGAGGACCTGAAACTCATTGTGGAGAAGATTGTTGATTTTGAATCCTTTAGTCTAAATGGATACCCCCTATGAAATTTCTTTAAAGCGCAAGAATGAGATTCAATCTTTGATATTTTAAATGGACCAACCTATCCTTATCTGGTTAGGAATTTTTGGGTTAAAGTTGAGATGTATGATGAGTTTGCTGCTTCTCTCGAAGTAAATTAGAAGGTTGCTGAAGATAGTTCTTTGAGAGGGAAGAGTAAAA